GAATATTGCCTGAGATAGTCCTAGAAGAGGAGCCCCCGAGGTTGGGAGGCACGACACGATAGCCACAATGATGGACTCAGACATACCAGTGATCATGACAATGGCCTAGGCCTGGCCACCATTTTGTTCTGTTATACATAGGTTGCCATGAGTTGGATCTGACTTGATGGTAACTAACAACACTTAGTCCTATGAAGGTAGAAATCTAGGTGTAGGATAGAGAATCACGTGTATGTGTGTGTGTGTGTGTGTGTGTGTGTGTGTAAATTGAATGTAGTGAGGGAGGGCCTCTCTGAGATGGTGATAAAAAAGAATTCCTAACTCACTGCCATCGAGTTGATTCCGACTCATAGCAACCCCCATTGGGTTTCCAAGGTGGTAAATTTTTACAGAGTAGATCGCACCATCTTCCTTATGCAGAGCAGCTGGTGGGTTTGAACCACCAACCTTCTTGTTAGCAACCAAATGCCTTTAGGCACTACACCACCAGAGCTGCTTTGAGATGGTGATATTTAACCCAAGTCCGAAGGATGGAAGTCCCAGCTATGCAGAGAGCTGGGGGAAGGGCTTCCCAGGCAGAGGGAACAGCATATGCAAAGGCTCTGAGGAGGGTCAGAGCTTGGTGTGTTTGAGGGACTGAGAAGTGCACACGGCTTGTGTCTGGGTTTGGATCCCGGACTCAGGGGCTGGCACACAGAATGAAGGTAGAGAGGAGGACAGGGTCAAGCCACGCAGGGAGCTTCCCACCTGGGTTGGCTGTTGACTGGCATTTTAGATTCTCGTGCCCTGATGGAGTCTCAAAGGTGTGCCTTGTTGTTAGCATGGTGCCCAGGGACCTCTGAAGTTCAGAAAATACTAGTGAGTGAAGGGGCTGATAAATACCAGCCATTGATTGGGGCGGGGGTTTAGCCTAGTAACACTCCCACCGCCCAGACACACCCTCAGCTCTCCAACACAAAGGCTCCATGTGGAGCCAGACTGCTCTGCTTGCAGTAGCCTTGGACAGCTCATTAACCTTTCTGTGCCTTAGTTTTTTCTTCAGTGAAATGGGAATAATAATAAGATCTACTTCATTTTTTTTTTTTTTTTAACGAATGAGAGCAAAGTGCTTAGCACAGGAACAGATGCACAGATGCACGTGACAAGCATTTTGTCACTCACTGTTGTCCTTGTTAGTGGCTGGGTGGAAATTAGTGTTTCCAGGAGAGTCAGTACAGCCTCGAGGGCAGGAGCACGTTCCTTGGAGTCTGAGGGCTGGGTTTGCGTCCTGGCTCCTCGACTGGACAATTTCGTAGCTACTCTGTGCCTCACTCTCCTCATTTACAGAATGGGCATGACGATGATAATGCTTACACTTATGGTGAGAATGAGATGAGGTGACTTACACAGAGTGTGGGAATAGTGCCTGGCACATAAAAAAGAACCAAACCAGTTGTCTTTGAGTCAGTGCTGACTCGTGCTGACCCCGTGTATCACACACAGTAGGGCTATGCTCTGTAAGGTTTTCAGTGGCTGGTTTTTCAGAAGTTAATGACCAGGCGCCCCTCTGGGTAGACTAGAACTCCCAACGCTTTGGCCAGCAGCTGAGCACGCCACCATTTGTGCCCCTAGGGTTGCCCACTTGGAACATAGTAAGTGCTTTCTAAGTGTTTGCTGCTACTGCTACTTGATATATATTCAGATTAGAAAGTTTGACCATATGTCTCCCTCAGTCCCCAATGTATTGATAAGTTATTGAGGTACACTAGGGAAGGAGGCTTACCTCAGAGCTGAGTTTCTGGGTCCGAACCCTTGAATCCTGCACTGCCATCCCTGGGGAGGCAAATAGCTGACAGGGGCTGGCAGTGACAGCCTCTGCAGACACCCCCATGTTTGAAACCTGGGTCTCTGAGGGGCGTCAGGGGCGGCCATTGCTGACACCAGGACTGTGGGGTCACAGGACATGAGCACAGAGTGGCAGAGCCCCTGGCTTTCCCTGGCACATTCCAGACTCCTGAGCAGGTGGCCATGGGCCAGGGTGCCGGAGGGAAGGAGAGAGCCTTTTAAGGAAACATTTCTCTGCTTTGAAAAAAAGAGAGAGAGAGAGACAAGAAATATTGAAACACACAAGAGAGTTAGTGGGCGGGTTGGCCTGGCATGCATAGCTGTGGGTGGATGGTGGAGGAAGCCGCTGGACTCCCCCAAGATTGAGGTCCTTAGTAGGGTCAGGACACCTGGGTCCCCATTCTTTCCACTGTCTAGGCTAGGTCTGGGAGAGAGGCCCTTCCACATGTCTCAGAAAATACCTGTCCATTCTGCCCTTGTCTCAAAATGTATCCTTACCCCCTTCCTCATCTCCCTGATTGGGGCCTAGAAACCCACTTTTACTCAATGGAGGGGGAGACTGGTGGGCATCAATGGAATGGAACTAGCTTTGGGGGCTGGTGGAGGTAGCAGGTGACACCCCTCCTCTGTAGCTTGTTCCTACATCCAGAAGAAAGGGACTGAACAGAGTGTTGTCCAGTGCCCCGAGGCACCCGTGGATGTTAGAGTGTGTGGGAGAGGAGACTCGGGGGGCCTGGCCCCATAAGTTTGAAACCTCACAGCCCCCAGAATGGGATTTGCAGGTTCTTGCCCTGAAGGTGCCTGGCAGGGACAGCAGCATCCTTGAGGCTGAGACCTGGTAGGCAGGAAGTCCCGAGGGTCACAGTCAGCTCCTGAGACTGTCCCCTTCCTCCTGGTCTTTCACTGGTTACCCTCTCCCTCATTCCTGGGCCCTTTTCCCCCAGAGGCCTCTTCTAAGAAAACAGGCTCATGGCCCTATGCCTGTGTGTGTCAAGAACCTTAGAGCTCTGGATCATGCCCCCACGTTTCCTCATCCTCATTGAGTGACACCACCCTCTTTACATCTAGTCGTAAACTCAGACTCCCTGTGTTCAAATCCTGGCCACTTACCAGCTGTGTGACCTTGGGTGAGTTGTTTAACCTCACTGTGCCCTCACATACTTCAGCTGGGGATAATAATAGTGCCGGCTTCATCGAGCTGTTGAAAGGATTAAATGACTTAATACAGATAAAATATAATAATGCTTTTCATAGAGTTCGTATTCAATGCCTGTTAGATTTATTTATTTTATGGCCTCACATACGATCCTCCCAACAGTCCTGACGTCAAGTTGATTAGTGGGTGAAAGAATCAATTCAGGCCTCTGCTGGAGAAGGAGTACGCAGGGGATCTGTAACCTGGCTGGCTCAGGAGCCTGGGGATGCTAGCTCCCAGCCCATTCCACCCCTTCCAGAGCTCAGAGTAGACCAGCAAGCAGGTGTTGTCCTGGTTTGAGTTCACGTGTCAAGCCTGGATATCCCTTGGGCTGGTGGGATCACAGGACAGGGCCAGGTAGAAGGAGGCTCCAGCCCCGTGTGACCACTGCCGGTCAGCCAGTCCCAGTCAGGACTGTGAGCTTTCACCATATCACCCCACCACGGCGGTGGTGGTGGGGCAGGCTGTCCTCTGCCCAGGAGACAGCCACCCCATCTCTGGCCATCCATGGCTCGTGCCCAGACGACCTCATGCCAGAGGGCAGACACGCCCCCCCCACACCCCTTTGTCCCTTGTGTGGGCCCCTGCCTGGTGTTTGGGTCAGGAATGGAAGCCAAGGTTGAGGACTGAGCTCCAAGAAAAACGTGTCCTGGCTGGAAAAGGCTAGAAAAAAAGACCACATTGAGTCTGATAAATGCCCCTGCTAATTGTCAGGGTAATAGTTTGGCTGCCTGGCTGGCAGGGGGAATGTTATCTCAGGGAAGGGAGCAATCAAACTCCTCCCCCCTCCCCTGCCCACCAGTCACCCGCCTCCTCCCTCCCTCTGTCTGGAGGCCCAAGTTGCCATCTCCTTCTTGGGATCCTGAGGAGGAGGAGGAAGACGGGGGAGTTGACAATAGTAGTTCATCCATACAGCATGCTTTTGGGCCTCACAGCCTTCCCCAGCTCCCAGCGATTCGCCAGCTTTCTCTGGAACTCTGGCAGAGGCTCCTCGCCAACTAGTTTCCCACACACTTGGGAAACGTTGCCAGATTGAGTTAGGAGTTGACTGTAGCTCTGACCTTCGGGTGAGATAGCTTGGCATTGAGGAAGACACGGGGTGACTTTTCCTTTTCTAAGGATCTTAAATGTTGTTGTTGTTATGTGCCATCGAGTCGGCCCCAACTCATAGTGACCCCTCCTTGGGTTGCTGAGGCAGTATCACTATGGAAGTAGATTGCCCCATCTTCCTTCCAAGGAGTGGCTGGTGGGTTTGAACCGTCAGCCTTCTGGTTAGCAGTCAAGTGCCTTAGGCACTACACTACCAGAGCTCCTGGGATCTTAAATAGTATAAATAAATAAAAAAAAACGTGACATAAAACAACCACAAAAAATTGGAGTCCTTGCATGGTCCAGATTGTTAAGAGCTTAACTATTTGCCAAAAGGTTAGTGGTTCAAACCCATCCAGAGATGCCTCAGAAGAGAGGCCTGGCGTTTGCCTCCAAAGGGACACAGCCTTGAGAACCCTGTAGGGCGGTTTTACTCTGCACCCATGAGGTCTCCGTGGGTTGGAATCGATTGGAAGGTCACCACCACCACTACCACCAACATAAAAAAATTAGGAAACAGAGAAAAAAAATACTGCCCCATTTCTTGTTACCTTAACCCAAACATTATTAAGATGCTGGTGCATTGACCTCCAGCCTTTCACTTAGGCCCGTTTTCTATAGACGTGTAACTGTGACGGACATTTCATTTTTGCCTTCTGCTCCTCCCTCCACGGAGTGTTACTGCCTTTGCGTTTTTCCGAGTTGCTGCATTGTCTTCTGGAGAACTCTCAAACTGGAAGGGCTCAGTGTGTGTGAGCTGAAGGAGGGGGTGTCTGGCGTGGAGGTGGGGGCATGAAGCTCTGGTTTCTGTAGAGATGAAAGATGCTAACCTTGGCTTCTCTTTGCTCCTCCCACAGGTGGCTGCCCCCTGTGTTCCTCCGTCCAGCCATGAACTGGTGGTGAGTGACAATCCATTCCTGCCCCACTGGGCCTCCTCTTCCTCTTCCTCAGCTCCCAAGCTGTAGCTTACTGTAGAGCCCAGCACATTATGGTAGCAGGGGTACCAGGCAATTAGGTAAGGAGGAGAAGGGGGTGACAGCTCTAGTCTGAGGCTGAGCTTGGAGGAAATGAGTCATGAGGTCCCTTCTGATGAGATGCAGGACCTCCTATTTCCAAATCTTGAGATGCAGGTCCTTGGAAAAACCCATAAAAGGGCATCTTGAGTGTCCAGGCTTGGCCAGGTGCCTGGTGCTCTGGGGCTTACAGGACCAGGGGATGCTATGACATCTCCTTCTCTCAGCTTGGTCTCAGGACAGGTCTGTCCCTTTGGCTGGGAGGCAAGGGGATGGATGATGACATGATCCACAGAGTCCCTTTATCTGGGCAGTTTCTCAGGCACTTGACTCTGTGTTTCTGCTCTCTCTCCACTCCTCCCTCATCCCCACCATCAGGCTTCCAGAATAATGTGGATAGGGGTGGGATGCCTGTATGTAGTGGGCTGTGGAGAGGGCGCCTGCTCCCGCCTGATCCCGGCTGGGCTGATTTGGAATGTGGGAGCTTTCCTCCCTCACCTCTCACTACCCTCTTACCCTTCAGAGCTCCCTCCTGCTCCCTGACTCACCACTGGAGCCAGGCAGGCCTCTGGAGGCTGGAGGGGAAGGTCTGCATACGTGCACACGTGTGTTCCCTTGTTTGCATGTGTGTGTGGGTGTTTGATGGAGGGGGCACCATAAGATCAGCTGGTGCACAGGGGCTGTGGTGGGACTGACGTTGGTGGGTGTCTGGGGGTGGGGCAAGAGTGTCTGGAGGCTTAGGCAGTTTTGAGTATTCACATAACCTGTGCAGTGAGGTTAGGTGGTTTTGAGTACTCACATAACCTGTGCAGTGAGGTGTTCAGCCTGTGCGTGGAGTTCTCTGTCGGGCCACCTCCAGCCCTGACTGCAACATTCAACTCCCATGTGGTGGGTTCTGCCCTCTTTCTGGACCTCAGTTTCCCTTTCTGTCCAAGAGATGTTGATACCTCAAAGGCTTTCTCCATGCTAACAGATGTTCCCACCTGGCCCCTCTGCTCAGGGTCAGGACAGATGCAATAAAGTGTGCAAAGGTGATTTGGCTTCTTAGCACCCTTAGTGGGCCTGGGGCCTTCCTGTCTGCTGCCCTGCCCATCCATCTATTCCCCTGTGCAGTATCCCCTCCTTGCCTGGCCCCATTGGTCTCTTCCGGTCTGGGTAGAGCCACATAGCTCCAGATGTGCAGTGTTATTTGCACAGAGCCCAGGTGGGGGTCATCTGACAACAGCAGGGGGAGGCGGCCAGAGGGCAGGCCTGACTGGAGCTGTCAGCGCTCTGGGATTGCAGAGAGGCATCATGGGAGCATGAGGGGGCAAGGAGGGTGAGCGTATGTTTCTCCTCATTCCAGCTGAACTGCCACCCCACCGGCTGGCCGCTGAGAACAGAATGTCCTTGGCCAGTCCAGAGAGTCTGGGGGGTCCAGGGTTTAGGGACTGCCAGGCAGAGTCTTGTGAGGTTTATTTACAGGAGGAAGGGTCAGGGGTTGGGACAAAAGGGAATAGGTTGGCATTCCAACTGGAAGAATTCAGTTAGGTCCAGATAGGACTCCTGCCTGAGCAAGGCTGTGGAGTCCCTGCGTCTGTGTGATGGTGCACACCTGTGCAGGGGAGCGCAGACCCTGGAAGAGGATGGATCAGCCACCACCAGGCATTTGCTGTGGTCCTCGGCTCTCCTGACCTGAGTCAGGAACTCCCTCCCCGCCTCAGCAGTCAAGAGCAGAGGAGTTAGACTCTTTCTGGATCCTAGCTCCCCCATCCACTGGTATGTGATCTTGTTGAACCTCTTAGGCCTCAGTTTCCCTTTTCAGAATGGGATTTAATATAGCATCTACCCTGTAGGTTGTCAGAAGAATGAAATGAGCAGATGAATCCACTGAACTGATTGGTATTCAGGACCCTCTGATGCTGACCCCCTCACTGGGTGTCCAGACAGATTCTCCCATTGGCTGCATAGCCCCACACAACAGGTGTTTTCTCTGACCTCATCTCTTTCTAGGACTCTCTCCCTTCCTCAGCATGCACCAGTCACACTGGCCTCCTTGCTGTTCTGTGAATACACCAGGCACGATGCTGCCTCAGGGCCTTTGCGCTTGCTGTTCCGCTGCTTGGAATACTCTTCCTCTGATGTCAACAGGCTCTTTCCCTCCTCTAGGTCTTTACTTATTCACTCACATGTCAACATTTTCCTTCCCCACCAACCCTATTTCTCTTCCCTGCTTTCTTTGCCCCTAGCACATATCACCCCTTGAGACATATTTTACTTACTTACCTTGTTCAGGCTCAAGTGTAAACTCTGTGAGGACGGGATTTTTATCTGTTCCATTGGTTGCTGTATCTGCATTGCCTGGCATGCAGTGGGAGCTCAATACGTGTTTATCGAATGGCCAGAAATGATACATTCAGCCCCGTGCCTGGCACACAAGAGGGGCTCAGCAAGTGGGACTGCTGCTAGTCTTTCTCCCTGCATGGCGAGTGGCTCGGGTCTTGAGTTCCAAGGGTGGAGGGTCTCCAGGGGAGCCTGCTGGTGGCTCTGTCGCTGTCTCCAGAGAGTGGGAAAGTGGCCCAGGGGAAACCGGGAGAAAGTTTGGCTTCCCCCAGAGAGCACTCAGCACCTGTTTCCTCACGGGTGGGTGAGGCAAGTGCTTTGAACAGGTTCACAAGAGGGAGGAAAGGGTGTGTTTGCCTTTTTCCTTCCTTTTCTATTCGCTGCCTGCCCTCAGCTTTCGTGTCACTGGGGGGGCCAGGGGTACAGGGGCTGCAGACTGCACCCAGTGACACTGTCAGAGGGGGTGAAACCAAAATGGTTGTCTATAAAATTTTTGTGCAGTGTTTCAGCAGAACTTTATTATTTTTTATAAAAACATCCCTGTGGTTAATTGTAATCACAAAAAAATTTTCACAAGCCCAGTTCGCATGTTGCAATATACCAACAAGGCTAAACTCTATGCTAATTTACTTTTTGAACTTTTTAATGCCTTTGGTCAGAGCTGTCATTGTTCCCTAATTACAATAGCACTTTGGATCACGTGGTTTCGAACGACATGCACTATTGTTTTTGTTGCTGTGGGTGTTTTGATAGTCACTGATTTTGCCAAATTTTCTGGTGTTTTAGCCGCAATATTGTGGTAGTAAGTATTTGTGAGCCTATTAACTTTTTCAAGAATGAAGTCGTAATTAAAGGAAAAAAAGAAGAAAAATAAAAAAAGGCTTCTGCTCAGTTATTAATGTAATTCAATGCAGAAAAAATTTACAAAACTATTTTATTGTTAATATTCATATATCTAAGAAGTAATTACATTTAAGTAATTTACAACTATTTTTCTCATGTATTAGTCTGTCATTACAGTTGGTAGTAGACATTACTGAGGATTCTGTGTGGTCTGATATGGGAGGAGGTCCATGAGGTGACGGCATGAGTTACTGCACTGGGTGACACCAACCTAGTGATGCCACTGCTAGCGTTGGTCTCTGGCTTCCCCGGCCTCTTCCTTCTTCCCTTGTGCTGTGTTGTCTGTCATCTGTTATGCTTTCTTCACGCCTCAGGTTGGCTCTCGCTCCCTTCTGGTCTACTTACCTATCTTCCTTCATTCCTGCTCCTCTGGAATTAGGACCACCTCCCTATCCCTGGGCACAGGATTTCTGGGTCCTTGGGCCAAACACATTTTCCAGCTTGTGCCCGGGCCAGCCAGGGCAAAGTGGCTTAATCTTCAACTCATGTTTTCATCTTACTCAACAGATGTTGCCCAAGGCCTTGAGTATAAAGGTTCTAGGGTCACCTCTCTCCTGTGGGGTCTAGTGGTGGGGGCAGGGTTGAGAAAGGAGAGGGCGTGTTCGCTGTAGCAGAATCCTCATCCTTGGAAAGAGCTGAAGCAGCTTTTCTGAGCTCCTGGAAAATAAGAATCAAAAGAAGTTTCCTGAGGGTGACAGTGAAATAGAGTGGCCAGCAAGGTTGTGAGCTGTCCAGCCCTCCTGTACACACATGCAGCCCAGCACCCCTGGCCCTGGCATGTCCAGGAGAAGCTGCCTGTGCTATTGTTCCTCACATAGGGCCCAGCCCACTGCAGGTGTTGCGGTTGTCCTTGTAGAATGAAGGACAAGGTTGGGAGTCTGAGTTGGAGGAGTGGAATGTCAGGCTGGTTTCACCTATAATAGTAATAATAACCAAAACCCAAAACCTGTTGCCACTGAGTCGATTCAGATGCATAGTGACCCCGTATGTGTCAGAGTAAAACTGCTCCATTGGGTTTTCAGTGGCAATGACCTTTTGGAAGTAAGATAGGCAGGCCTCTTTCTGAGGCCCCTCTGGGTTGATTTGAACTGCCAGCCTTTCAGTTACTAGCTGAGGGCTTAACTGTTTATGTCACCCAGGGATGCCATAATAGTAACAATAGAAGAGCAAAAAGTTAACTCTATTATAGAACTTTCCATTTGTCAAGCTTTACTCTGAAAATTTTACAAATATAAACTCATTTAATATGCACAACAACCCAGTGGGGGAGGTACTATTACTATCCCAGTTTCACAGATGAGGGGCAACTGAGGCCCAAGGCCACGGAGCTATTAAAAGGAGGAGTTGAGACTTCAAGTCAGTGGTCTGGCACCAGAGTCCACCCTCCTAGCCATAAATGTCACTCTTACCTGCGTAGCACCTGCAGTTGTCCTGACCTGAGGTCATTGGTACCCACAGTGACCTGTGAGGAAGCTGGGCAGGAGTGAACCCCTCTAGGCTCAGCAGAAGCAGCAAATTGTGCAGAGTAAAGTGCAGCTCAGAAAAGGGGGGCGACTTGTTCTTGATCATGCAGCTGTCAAATGGCGGGGGCTGCATTGGGAGTGGAGTTTGGGATTGCTATTTTGCTCTCTCCTAGGTACCCATGCTGATTGGTCTGGAGG